TTGCAGTTAACTGATAAACAGGAGATAAGCAGATAAGGTAATCACCACCTCTGTATCTATACACCTTCCTCTCCTGCCTGCTCTTCTCCGCTCTACCTTCTGAGCATTTCTTTATCCCTTTTACAGAAGCCTCCCCCACAGGCAACTATGTCCTTTTGTTTTATTCCCTCGTCTTTTTCTTCCACAGCCTGCCTTAATACCAGACTTTAAAGTTTCAAAGTTCAGATTACTCTCTCCTCTATTTCCATTGTACTTGTATTCTACTTCAACATGGGAAAGGATTAAGAGTAGGACAAACGTATGTTTACATGTGAGAGAAGAAAACTACTTTCCTACCACAAAATACCACTTCGTACCCTGGCACAAATACGTACTCCCAACAGTGAATGTTTCTAGTTCACATAATTGGAATCAACTTTAAAGTAGCCACATTGTAAGAGATGGCTATCCACTGTGAGCAGGATTTTATTTCAGACATGGGGTTCACGAGGTAAAGCAATATTGATTTCACGTATTCCACATAAAAACCAAAAAGCCTTGTATTAATATACCATTTGGGTTGCACAGAGAATTAAGAGAGATGCAATACCAGTTAGATGGAGTGCTCAGCCTGAACCTTTTCCTTACCCATACATACTAAAATAAGTCTAATTACATAATGCTTAAATAGAATGTATTTTACATTCTGTAGAAATACGCCTTTCCCAAAGTAGTATTAAAATACTGTAATGAAAGCTAACATAAAGATTTTCTAATGAAGGTTCTTAGTCCTCTGCAGGGCCTTCCAGCAGTCCCAGCCCTTGACAAGGAGCAGCTTTGGCCTCACAACACCCCTGTGAGGTAGGTGGTTGGAGTTTTTTTGTACAGCTGAGGAAACCGAGGCAAAGGGAAACTAAATTGCTTGAAGTTAACACAGCAGCTCAGTGGAAAACCATGGTCAAATCCCACTCTCCTGGGCCCGTGCTCTTGCTACAAAATGGGCTGCTTCTCAGTGTATGCAGTCGTTTTGGACAATCTTTTCTGTTCTGGTATTCCAGCTGAACTACTTGTTCTGGTGATTCATTAACACTGTTAATTAACATTTCTGACAGTTGCATTCTGGCAAAGCAGCCCCTGAACTTCATCAGCTGTACCAGCATACATTCTAAGTAACTGAACATAAGCCCATGAGATACGTACCATTAGAAGATGCTTCACAATAAAAGCAAATGTCTTCACAGCAATTTGAATCAGCATCTCAGCTTTTTATCATACAGAAGAAAGAGTTTTCTTAAATATGAAACAAATTTTTTCCTAATAAAATTGCTATCTTGGAATTGTCCTTTCTCTGTTTTCTCCACAGGCAACTGCTTAGACAGCTTTGGACCAATGCAAAACTCTACCTTCTCTCTGGACAGATATTCCCAATCCTTTTCTTTGAAGGGAAAAAAGAAAATGGGATGGCTTGCTCAAGTACTGAACTTCACTTTGCCTGATTTCAAGTTACATGGATCCGTCACTTGTGAAAGCAGCACTTCTATCCAACCACTTACACTTCTACTCCCTACCCCTGGCTATGCATCTAATACTATCCTTTAGAAACCCCCCTTCCCAGTCCCTCTCATAGTTCCTGTTTTATTTGCATAATTTCCAATCTCCCATATTTAAAAAGACTAAAAATCTTTTCCTTCCTGTTCTGTTTCATTTCAAATAGAACACGGTGGAACTACACATAGTGCTTCAGAAGCCAAACGCTAGATAGGTGATAGTTACAAGTTATCCAAATCAGTATTAGACTCCTCAGCTGTTTCCTGCTGCCATTTCTTCTTCCATCAGCTAGAGCAGGTTCTCATATGAACCCTGACACAGATGAGCCATCTTTTTAACTTTTTCTTCTGAACTCAGCAAATACACATCAGATTCCCCCCCACCACCACTTTGTACATCCCTAATTCATCTCTCTGAAATGTAAGCGCACATTATTATTTTTGTTCCATTTCCCAAAAAAGCCCGTTTACCTTCAAAATCAATTTGTGAAATTAAAAGCTGAAAGCAGAGAGGAGACAATTTGGGAACTCAGTTACAGGCAGGTGATGAAAGCTGGATTGTGGCTGTTCATAAAGATTTTGAAGTACTCGAGGTGGTTTTGGTATATTAAGTTTCTTGGGCCTCTGATACAAATTGGTCATGTAAAATAGGAGGTATTCATTTCTCTGACCATGTCAGTATTGGAAAGAATAATACATTAATACCTTGTAACTAAGCACCCTTTAAGTACATGAAGCTGTATTAGTCTAAAAAAGAATCATCTGCTCAAGTTAGTTATGGTATTTGACAGAAAACCCCAAGCAAGTTTAAAACTACTCAACCAGGCTGAACTTAGACAAAAAAACACCCCAACAAGTATTGCAAAAGCTCAGATAAGCAAACTCCAAGATGTGCAGCCCTACCACATTGACATGGTGTTTACCTGACCTAGACAGCATGTTGTGGTGAAAAAGTTTCCAAGAGCCAGCACATGCACACACAGAACACTGGTGTCGGGTCTCTAACACAGTCTGTACCATTAAAAATGCAGCTATTCCCAAGTTTTGCAAGAGAATTACTTTGGACATGACTGGTAAAGGTAACTACAAAGACAAAACTGAAGGAGCAGGAGATGTTTGCTTTTTGCTGTTAATTCCTCTTCATTTGTGAGCAAGATTAAACATGGCACAGCTAAACCAGGGGTAGTGGGGGTCAAAACTAATCCTCTTCTATGTTTATCATCAATTCAAGGAAATACAGATGCCGGATTCCTACAGCAGGCATTTGGGAAGTCCAACTTTATTAAAATTTATCTAGTTTTTGGCATTTTAACATTCCTTAAATACAGACTGCATCACCGAGTCACAAATCCCAACTGTTCCTTTCCCTTTAGGTACTGGACCTTTAAATGTTCTACCAGCAGGTCGGTGACTTCACGGCTGTATTTTCATGTCAGAGACTAAGCAAAACGTAACCTCGAAGTTGGAAACTAACAACTAAGCCACCACAAAAGCATGTTACAGGTTCAGAAGCAGCACACAACAGCATTTTACTGACTGGTATCGAGAATCTCATTTCTACAATCCTTCATTTATGGAATGAGCCTTCAAGAAGCATTCTGAAGGAATGACACGGACAGTCTCAGCGTGCCTCGAATGGATGCAACAACAAACCAGGTAAAGTTGGACTTCAGAGTCTCAAAAGCATACTGAGCTTCCACAGAGGAATGACTTCCAAGATTCAGGCATGCAGAACAATTCATTGTTACAAGAAGATACTGACAACTGGTATTTTGCTAGTTCCTGGCAGCGATATTTAACACAAGAAACAGTTTTCAATAGTTTTAACATTCTGTGCTATGGAAATTGCTGCATTTTCTTTCTTTTCCTCGATGCCTCCAGAAAGAACCTGGAATGAAATGCTTAAGAAAAGCCCCCACAGTAACACCTCTAGTTATCAGGAGCTGATGGACTCTGGTTGGCAGCACCCATCCAAGAGGTTTTATGGGTTTATTTCATTCTTTGATATAGCAGAGCTACTTTCAAGTGAAAAGCAAATCAAAGCTTCATTCACACTCAGTTCACAATCTCAATCCACGTATACGGTGCGAGTAAGAAGACACTCTGACAGGAAGCAACTGAACTTCTCTGTACAAATAGAAGTCAAATTAGTATGCACTGCTATAAGATCTTACACACAGCCCACCTGACCATAAGGCTGACTACCCACTCTATGGCCTGTCCCTTAAGAGATCCAAATGCTCTGTCTCTCCTCAGCTGTCACAAGCTAGAACTAAAGGTAAAGATTCATTAGACTCCAGACTCCGTATTTCCATTTTATTTGATTTGAAACTGTTACAGGGTCTTCTTGAACTGCCAGAATTCATGCCCAAAACCTCAAAGATGGTACAATGGACAGTCTCATCTACCCTTCATACAGTAGACTAAAACTCAATTCATGTGCATTGGTGATCTCAATCCCTTTAGAGGATCAAGAAAAGTGTTTTAAGCTTTCATGTTTCTACCAAATCAAGCGACGTGTCCATTTACCATGAATTCCACAGAAATCTTTAGTGACAAATCAACAGTTTTGCTGGCAACAACATATTTTCAAGGAACATACATGGCTCAGAGTCCAAAGTATTGGTACGAGTCTTTCAGTGGGGTTTTGTTTCCAAATGAACTCTCCAACTTTAAGGATAGTCTCGAGCCCTCTTTAATAGCAGCTTCTAGCAGAAGTTTTAGAGACAGGTAACTCTGCAAGGGCAAGGCCAGTTTTAGGCTGTGCACAAAAGACTCAGGTGAAACCCCAGCCCCACTGAAGTCAACAGCAAAATTCCCATTGGCCTCAGAGAAGCAGATTTAAAGCAAGTCAGCAGTTAGTCAAAGGGACCCAACGAGGTGATTCCTGCACTATCCTCATCTTCTGCACATACACAGAACTACCACACGAGCAAGCAAGTTTTGTTTTGTTCCCTGGTTTTTCTTGCCATTGGCAACTCCTATAGATGTTGGGTCTGGTTTTGGCATTTACTCTGAGAAACCTCAACACTGGAGCACGCCACTATTTTACTTCATTTTGCTTCTGGTATAAGAATTCAGAGAAGAGAAAAGCAGTTACAGCAGGACACTTCTGGTACTTGACAGGTTTGGTTCATTAAATCAGTGTTAAGGGGCAGTGTCCTATATTCTTAGTGTATCAGTGCCATTTTGCCTACTTCCACTCAATTAAATCAGAGATGAAAACAACTCGAAGAAGTCACTGCCTTCCATTATTACTAAACTTCCTGACTTTGAATAAACACCATTTATGAGTTTTACATAGAGGTTTTCTGCCTCAAAAAGCCTGCATGCTTCACAGAAGTAGCCAAACAAATAAGGCTTACCAGCTCTAGTTATCCCTCTGCATACTATATTGTTTTGGTTATCAAATAACCATTACCCTTCAACAAACAAGTCACTTTTTAATAGAGGAGAAGTTTTTAACTAGTATCACTACTGCCACGTATCTCATTTTTAAAAGTCAAATTCTTCACTTAAGAGTCTGGATACCTCTGTGTAAAAAAGCTCTTAATGCTGTAGGGTAGGAAAGACAAACCTCATGACAAAAGCCAAAATGAACCCTATTTCACTACAACATCTCATCATTACTTAAATAGACTGCAATTTGATATCAGAAACAAGGCAGGCATTTGGGGGTTTTTTGTGGAGAACAGCAAAAATAAGATGCTTCAACAGACAACTGTGAAAATGGCTAATGCAAACAGACCATTCAAACCCATCGTTCCTCCAATCTGATAGTGAGTTTTAATTTGTTTTGCAGTTACTTCAGTACAGCTATCTAAAAAGGTAAACAAACTACAGCTCTGTTATACTTGGGTAGCATGAGTGGTATTGGTATGCTCCAGAAGTCTCTAGTAGGCTATGGCTACACGACAGGATTCCTCAGAAGGGGAACAGAATACGTTTGTCATTTAAGGTCACTTAAATCTTTGTTATAGCAAATTGGAACCAAATGGCTGACTTCTGCAGGATTTCTGACAGGAATCCAGTAGAGCTGGTTTCAAGTTTCAGATGGCCACTAAAACAGCTGTAACCTTCTCTTCCAGAAGTTGTGATCCACATGGTGTCCACAATGAGTGCAGCAAGTCTGAGGTAGTCAACCTTTACGAAGGCTCAGTATCTGAACATAAAAAGATTTTGAAATGACCACTGGCTGAAGGTATCTTTCTGAGCAATTAAAGAACACTGATGACTCTTGTTCAAGCATTTACATTAATCTGCCCCATTTCCAATGGAGAAGTTGTAACATATTATGCTTCCATAACGCAGGAGAACCAAGCACTTACGTCAAAAGTAGTCTGCACTTGCTGCAGTAGATCCAGCAGAAATAAGGTGGCATGTTCATCATAGCCGTTAGCTGTAGTTTAGTTACCTTAGTAGAAGGGTTACCAAAAAAGCATTCCTTAATTGTAATGTGTATGCAGCTCTACTGATCCCCAAGCACAGCATACTGGTTGTCTAGCTGAAGTTTAAGTGCCTGGTTTTTTGAGACCTCATCCCTACCTCTAGATTTGTGTTTTACTACTTCAAAGCTCTTCTCCATTTCTTTATCCCTAAGGGAAAATAAATGTAATCAGTAAATATCTTATCACTAGCTTGTGAATTGTGAATTTCTAGTCTACTTCCACCCCAGCCCAACAAAACCATCATGAACACCGAACACTAAGGTCTAGAGTTTTAATACAACAGCCAAGCATTCCCAAGCAAATATTATAAAACCTTATCTCCAGAATAAGCTCATCACCCACTACAACTCCGATCACATTCCAAGTTTCAGAATTAACATTCTCAAAAGTAACTTTAAGTGCATTTATGGAAAATATGTTTTAAAAAGCAGCACTCCATCTCTAGAATGCTCGCTTAGCTCAATTTGCACCATTCAAACCCTAGAGGAGCAATGACAGCACAGCTCAAGTGCCAAGCAGACAAAGCCACACAAAAAAAGGCAAAAAAAGAAGAAAACAAACCCAAAAAACCCAGAAGAAAAAAAAAGAACCCAAGTGAATTACGTACTGGCCTGGCTATGTCTTTTGCATGGGAATAAGGTTGTGGAAAGATGAGGACTCTAAAGCAGGGTGAGACTCCAAGTCTTCAGCACCACAAAATACAAAACCCCTCAGCAAACTGTGGGAGCTCATCATTGTAAACCACAGCTCCAACAGCAGATTTATTGATTTATATTGGTATTAAATCCCATTCCTCCATTTAAGAAGGAATCTTCACCTTCACAACTCTACTGAGAAGGCAGCGTGCTCAAGACATCCTAGTCATGTCTACTGATGGTAGTAACACAGAGCCTCACCATGGCTAGTATCTCAGGGAACCAGATGCTATGAAGAGCAGCAATATTCGGCTTCAGGAAAACCCTTCAGCAAGTCAAAGATAAGGCCATGGGTGCTCTTGTTTGGCTATTTCACTGGGCTGTGTCCTATGAAAGTTATTTCATGGGAAGCCCTTCCTGGAGTTGGAAAACCCAGTCTCCCATAGGTAAGTTCTTAGTTATTCCTTTCCTCTCAGGAAAGATTCAGGCTTAAGCTCTAAACTGAACCAAGAACTCAGAGAAGGCAGTTAAAATGCATCTCATAGGGATGTACTTACTTTCGACTGTCTACAAGCTTGGCGGTGGACTGCAGTGATGGGAACTGCGTATCACTATAGATTTCTGGTGGTCCTTGCTGTGCTCTCCGTGGCCTGCCACCCTCCCTGGCACCAGGAGGCCTGTACACACCACCAGTCTGAACTGGCTCAGGGGCTTCTGTAACTGGGTATAAGAACAAGATTTAGACAAGAGAAGTTTGTGTTTGTATCTGGCAAACACCACCAAAGAAAAACCCAAAACACAAATGATAAAGAGAAAAGAATCTTACAAGTATGTTTCTGCACTTTTAAAAGCTCTGGAAGCAAGTATTTTAGACATCAAGTGTCACCTAATTTAACCTATACTTAGCAGTCAAAATGTGGCTTCAATGTATTGCCTCACAAAGTTCACAAAATCACTGATGAGAACTTCATGTTTCTTATCTGCTATTTATTAGCAGCTTGGTAAGTAAAACTAGAGATGTAAACACATCATTATGTATTTGCTGAATCTTACTCAAAGCACCTTGTGGCTTCAATGTATTGCCTCACAAAGTTCACAAAATCACTGATGAGAACTTCATGTTTCTTATCTGCTGTTTATTAGCAGCTTGTAAGTAAAACTAGAGGTGTAAACACATCATTATGTATTTGTTGAATCTTACTTAAAGCACCTTTCCAGACACAGAAGAGAATTTCCAAATAGTTCATATTCTGTGTAACAAACTGCAATGAAGTAACTAATTAATTTTATCTCCTTGCTTGCACAAACAAGAGAAAACACAACAGCCCACTCTGCAGTGAGTTTCTCCATTAAAGAGAAGAGTCTGAACGCAGATCACAGCTAAGTAGTTTATCTCCACTGATGCTACTAGATTGTATTTAACCAAAACTTTAACCTATCCCAGTCAAAGAATCAATTTTGCAGTGTCATGCTCTCTGTGCCCTAGAGGTGATTTGAAAAGCATCCTACCAACCATAGAACCCTACCCAAGAACTGCCATCTACACAGCAGATACTGGCTGAACATCCACTTGATTGTCAAAGCAGTGTTTTTGGATCAACAGAAATGCTTCTAACAGGAATTTTGCAGATTGCAAAGCAAAGAGATCTCCTTCAGCTAAAGCCAAAACCCTTCCACTCGTGTTTATTTAAAGTACCTGACAGTGCTATCAATTCAGTTCCTCAGATCCCTTCACAAGAAAACTTCACTTCCCAGTACGTCAACCAAGCCACTGGTATGTTAGAAGGTGCCCGAATAGGAACTGTTCCATGAGCCCAACTCTGAGCAGCTTAATTCCACCCGATATGCTTCTGGTTGGAAAAAGCAACAACTCTGAGTTAAATTTACCAACTGGTTCGACGACAGGTGCCGGTGCGGGAGCTGACTTGTTCCAAGGACCAGATGATCTGTCTACACTGCCACCAGTCTCCTCCCAGTGGTCACCGTGGTCTTCTCTTTTTTCACTTTCATCATCATCTTTTTCATCTTCTTTTTCACTAGAAAAGAGCAATAAGTAGCCTTTTACGCACAGAGGTTTAAGACTCACCAGAGGCTACACAATCACCACTGACAAGACTTCACAGCTACTGCACTGAAGATATTGGATTTAACTAGACTCCATTAGTCCTGTAACCACTGCACTGGTACCTGCACCTGAACTGCTTTTGGTACACTGCTACGTAACTGGGCAAGAGAGAAGGAAAAAAGTTCTTAAAAGAAGAATTCAAACTGTACTAAGTGACCAAATAAATTGATTTCTTATTTTGAGCTTAAAGTTACTTACCAAGACAGTCATGCATTTGGAAATGAGAAATCAAAGCAAGAAAGGGTTACAAGTCCTGCTTTCATAAAATGCTTTAATCAAGAGAAAGAAACTGTGGAAAAATAGGCACAGAAAGCAAGTCCTGAGCTCCCCTTCCCTATAACCACACCCAACTGAGAAATATTCATATTGCCCATACCAAGATTATCTACAAACCACGTCAGTGCTATTTGGTTAGTTTTTTAAACAAGGGAATCAAAAAACACAGAGACAAAATTACTCCAGTTTCCAAAGCGAAATACTCTGAAAAAGCCTGACTGTGTTCTATTTAGACTATTTTGATTTGCACAGAAATAGTCAGACTCCAAACCGTCTGCTAGACAAAGCTGCTACAGAAAGCTGCATGGTGTAACAGGACATAGGTACAGGGTGAGGACATTGAAAATCCAAAGGCACTGATCTGCACCACAGCAACAAAGTGCGAATACAGAAGTTATAATGCACTCATTATGATTGGGTAAGTTTTCTGTTTTAAGAGGACAGTTAAAAATACCTATAATTTCTGAAAAATTAAATGGCCTTTCATTGTCCAAACACAGTAACAATCACAGCAAGCTGGACCAAGAGCCTAAACACATCACTATCCTATTTTAAACTCTAGTCAAAAGCAGATGCCTACAGCCTAGCTAGAGCAGAGCAAGCGCACACAACATCCCACTCCCACCACAGACTCCGTGGCTTATTTTCAGCAGAGATCTCCAGAGCTGGATAATTTATAACCTCCAGTGGGTTGCTATTCCATTTACTTCTCCACTCTCCCCTTGAACCTACTAAGTAGTTATAAAATCCTCTGGCAGAAGCTTCCATGTGCCTGAGAATGTCCCACAGCACCGAAAGCATCCGGAATGCTGGCCTTTGGAAAACCGAAGTACTCACTTTTCAATCAAACAGTGCCAGCAGGCAGTGAAGCAGCAGCAGCCCACTTATCACTTGTCTGTTCAGACATGTGATTAGCCACTGCCACACTTCAATGGTATGGGGAGCTTGTAGACCAGTTCACTGAAAGCTGGGGGGAGGTTGGGGGTGGTATTAATAAAACTAAAGAAATAAAAGAATCTGCAAGACCTGCTCAAGCAGTGAAGAAAGCATCCATGGCTACAGGTAAGATTATTTTTGAAATGGCTTTATTCTGAACATCAATACACTGAGGATTATGTAACATTCTCAGTACAAGACTTAGGTCATAAACATCCTTTTTCTGACCTGATAAAATGTTTTTCTTAACCAAGACAGACTTACGTAGACTTACTTTGGACCAAACTCTTAGAACCATCTAATGAAAAAGCAAGTAAAGACTACTGGATGAGATTCATAAGTGCAGTCCTGGGGGACTTTGGCATGGAACACCAGTTTTACCACATCTATATTTTGGGGGTTTTTTGACATAAAAATGCAATGGCTTAGGAATTCGCTCCCCAAACTGAGATGCTGAATGGATTGAGTAAGACATCCTTACAGCAGTCCAATGATTCAATGGGAATTACTATCCTGCACTCCTCCCTCACAGAAATTCCTATTTCACTATCCTTACAGAAGGCAATGTTAAGAATTTGTAATAAAAATTTGAACCCCAACCAAACCAGACAGACCTGGAGAATCCACAGAGATCTAGAAAATAAAGAGAAAATTGTCAGAGAGCAGTCAAACCTCAGCAAACTTCTGCACTAGCAGAAACATATCAAACCTTTCTTTAACTGGGCTCCCTGGAAGCAGCTCTGAAGAACACAGTTTTTAGGCAGAGGTAATGATTATACTGGAGAGAAGAATTAACAAAAGAAGTAGTACCTTATTTGCATGGACTGAACTCTAAGACCACTATAATCAATCTCTTCCTTTTGCTCAAACTCCTTCCAATCATCCTCTTCCTGTAAGAAGAGAGAAATACAAGTTAACTTCTTTACACTGAGAATAGAAGACTGTAACTAAGATAATCAAAAGAAAACTAACGGTGAAGGTGCAGTTCCATGGGAAACCAATCCGTGTCCACCACTGCCAAGAGGGAAAGGATTCCACTGCCTCCTCCCCTAACTTACCATATGTGATACACTCGTGAGCTGATTCTAACTCACTGCCACAGCTAAGAGATGCCTCAGCAAAAGCAGTTGTTCAAGTGAAAGAAAACCACATCTTGTCAGTAAAAATCCATCGGGAAGTCAAGGGGCAGCACAGGACCAGGAAAATATGAGGGCAAGACCTCTCCCTTTACATGAAGGTAAGCTCCTGTGACAGCCTGAATGCACATGAGGCTTTAGATTTACTTTTCCATCACTTATTTCACAAGCCAAACATTAAAGAACATTTAGAACAGCTTACAGTGGATTTATGACGAAGATTAATACTGGTACATTTGACTTTCACATTCACAACACACAGCCTTTCTTGGTCTTTTAATAGTGTTTTTAGAATAGTAAAAAGGTCAGCTTCAAACCCCACAGCAATCTGAGTACATAGAAACAGTGGAATACAAGTCTCTGGAGAGCCCCACTTTAAGGTTTTAAAACAGGAGTTTGATTACATGTTTGGGGAAAGGAGGACCCACCTAAGTGGGTCCAATTTTGTGCTATTGTGTTATCAACAGATTCTGGGGATAAGGCAGGCCAGAAATGGACCAGAAGAGCAACCTTCCCATGTTCCTAGTCACATCTTTTTAACCCACACAGAGCCTAATCAGCAGTTCACATAATTCCTACACTCTATACATACCACTTCAAATACAAAGACCTAGCAAGCAAGGTCCGCCAATGGAATGGCCCCTTTCAGCGCTGAATACAGCTTCTTTTAAGAGCCCTGTCCTAGGATCTTCTACATTATCAACCTCTAGCAGGATAACTCTGGCCTGCTTTAAAGTAATAGCAGAAGCAGAAAGTGACCTGATGTTATTGCACCGTCTGCTGAAGATTCAGTCTTTTAGAAGAGCCTGAGTCTACAGCTCTAAGATCTCTTGGATTTCTTATATCCCCATTTCCATGGAAACATCAGTTTCCAAACTAATGTATTTTTCCCATTAATGATCTTTATTTCAAGTACAAGCTTCCATCAAAAATAGATACTATTTTACAAGCAAATGAGCAGCTACAGTCTACCCTGACCTTGGTCTACTTAGGGAGATACTACTGGTGCCAAGCTCCCCAATTTAAACAACACTGGGAAGTAGCAGAGTGTACCTTAAACTGTTTAAAATACACGGCATGGCCGGTTGTAAGGCACTAAGTCAACTACGAACACTTAAAGCTTCTCTCGCACTCTCATCGTTTCATTGTAATGCAGTACAAAAAGCAGTAACTACTGGCAGTACAACCGTTGCTGGCAATGAGGAAGGCAAAGTGCTCCGCGTACTCTGCCTGCAGAGCCGGGGGACCTTATCACCGAGGTCCGCAGGCCACACAGCCGGGACCTGATCCAAACCTCCAGTTCCGGCCGCTACCAAGCGTCGACACCCAGAAACACGGGCGGGTTGGGCAGAACCGAAGCCGGAGACCGGGCACGGCCCACCCCGCCCTCACCCCCTGCGGATACGAGGCCGGGAGCCCCGCCAGGC